GTAGTAAGCCGAGGGATGAAGCTTAATTGTAAAATCGTTATTTTTCTACGAGAAATTACCACGTGAAATATGTTCTTAAGTAGTTGTGTTATAAAAAGAAAACTAAATGTATAATTAAAAAAGGCAATCAAAAGAGAAGCCCCACCCATCCGTCTCGATCTCAATCGTCTTGAATTTTTCATTCGCCGTCAGACCGAGGGGCGGAGCCTAATTGCAAAATCTAGATTTCCATAATAAAGGTACCATTTTAAACATGTTTTAAGTTTCTTGTTGTGAAAAGATAACCACACATATTAATAAATAAATAATAAATAAATAAATAATAATTTTATTGTCCAACAGGTTACCCTAATGACACGACAAATCTAAATAATTACTTACATGAATAACCAACACAAAAATTATAACAATAACAAAAACAAAAACATAATTCCAAGTATAAACTAATTTGAATAAAATATATCAGCTACATATCTATCTGCACATCGACACATTGTAGTAATTGGCGAACGACGAAGGATATTAGTTCGGGCGGTGGAGATATGAAAGGTGTTAACATATCTCGATGCTGGCGGAGGGACATTAAATCTAATCTGTGATAATAAATATGGGCAATCAATTTTGTTGTGAATAAGCTTAGACAAGAAGTTAGCCGCATGCAGATCCCTTCGTACCATCAAAGAGGACATCTTGTGTCGTTGGAGAAGACTTTCCATCTCAATACCTCTGGACGGATAATTACTATAATATAATAATTAAGAAAGAAAGACAAAATGTAGCCCCGCCCACCCACCCTACCTCAATTGTAATGATTTTTTCTTATTCTTCGTGAGCCAAGGGGGTGGAGCTTAACTGCAAAATATTTATTTCTCTAAGAGAATTGAAAAACATGTTTTTGAGTATTGTGTTGTTCGAAATATATTAAGAAAAAATTAAAGCCAAAGATTAAGCCCCACCTATACTTGCCCTGATCTAAATAGTAATGAAGTTTTCATTCGCTGCCAGACGTAGGGGCGGAGCCTAATTGGAAAATCCATATTTCCCTACAAAAATTTACTATTTTAAACATGTTTTGTGTTTCTAAGAATACAAAAATCGTCATAATTGAGATGGGGTGGGCGGGCGGGGCTTATATTTTCCCTTTTTTCTTAACATACATGGTATTTTTTGAACAACACGACACTCAAAAACATGTTTTCAATTTCCGGTACAGAAGTAATTATTTTGCAGTTAAACTGATTTTTAAAATTTTTCCAATTACAATTTTTTGTTTCTGTTTTTTTTTATTTTCTTTCTTTTTTCAATGTTCATAATTCATAATTTTTCTTTTTTTCCATTTTTTAAATTTTCAATTTTTAGATTTTTTCATTTTTGGTTTCTTCGACTTTTCAATTACAATTTTTCTGGTTTTCAATTCAAATGTGCAACCAATAATTTAATTTATTTTCACTTGTTCAATTGTAGGATCTTGCCCTCTATTTTCTTAAAGGATATGTCATTCGCCAAAATCAGTCCTATCTTAGTAAGTACTAGCCCCGCCCACCCGCCCTCTCTTTTCTTAGAGGGAATATCATTCACCAAAATCAGTCTTATCTTACCCAGTACTAGCTAAGATAAGACAGATTTTGGCATATGACATTCTATAAGAAACTAAAGGGCGGGTGGGCGGGGCTAGCACTTGCTAAGATAACTGATTTAGGCAAATGACATACCTTGTAAGAAAATAGAGGGTAGGTGGGCGGGACTAGTATTTTATAAGAAAAGACTGAGTTTGGCACTTTTGACATATTCGACCACTTTTCAACCATTTTCGAAAATTAGCGAAAACATTTTCTTGTAGATTTCGATATCCAGAAGTCATTTTCGATTTCGTTTCTTCGAAAATTTCTACGGTTTTTCTAGAATCGCTAACTGAAATATAGCAATTTTCATAGTTTTGCCAAGTTGGCTCGGTATTCTTTTTTCGATTTTTAGAATTTTCAATTTTTCATTTTTCAAATTCATCCATTTGGAATTCTGTTTTTTATTTTCTTTCTTTTTTCAATGTTCATATTTTATAACTTTTCTTTTTTTTTCAATTTTTTAAACTTTCAACTTTCAGATTTTTTCAGTTTTGGTTTCTTCAACTTTTAAATTACAATTGTTCGGTTTGCAATTTCATGAATTTTTTAAAATATTTTTTCGATTTTTAAATTATTCAATTTTTCATGTTTCAAATTTTTTCATCTACAATTTTTTGTTCAATGTTCATATTTTATAACTCTTTTTTTTTCAATTTGTTAAATTTTCAACTTTTAGATGTTTTCATTTTTGGTTTCTCCAACTTTTGAATTACAATTTTTCTAGTTTTCATTTCAAATGTGCAACCGATAATTAATTATAATTTAAAAATTTTTTCACTTTTTCAATTTTAGGATCTTGCCCTGTAAATACTTGGTTCACGGCGAATAAAAAAATCATCACAATTGAGAAAAGGCGGGTGGGCGGGCTTACATTGTGCCCTTTTGTTTTAAGATGTGTAGACTTATATTCATAACATGAAACTTAAAACATGTAAAAATGGAAAATTTGTATAAGCAAATATTGATTTTGCCATTAGGCTCCGCCCAGAGTTACAAAATCCACCTTTCCTTGCAAAAATGTACCATTTTAACCTGTTTTAAGTTTCTTGTTGTGGAAAGATGACTACACATAATAGGAAAAAAGGCAAAATGTAGCCCCGCCCACCCACCCTATCTCAATTGTGATATTTTTTTTATTCATCGTGAGCCAAAGGGGCGGAGCTTGACTGCAAAATCTTTATTTATCCACAAGAAATTAAAAACATGTTTTTGAGTATCGTGTTGTTCGCAGTATATTAAGAAAAAATTAAAGCCAAAGATTAAGCCCCACCCATACCTGCCCCGATCTAAATAATAATGAAGTTTCATTCGTTGCCAGACCTAGGGGCGGAGCCTAATTATAAAATCCATATTTCCTTACAAAAATTTACCATTTTAACAAGTTTTCAGTTTCTAAGAATAAAAAAAATCATCGCAATTGAGATTGGGTATATAGGTGAGGTTTTTTCTTAATATGCATAGTATTGTTTGAACAACACGATACTCAAAAACATGTTTTTAATTTCTTGTAAAGAAATAAGTATTTTGCAGTTAATCTTCACCCTCTCTCTCACAGCGAATAAAAAAAATCATCACGATAGAGATAGGGCGGGTGGGCGGGCTTACATTTTGTCTTTTTGTTTTAAGATGTGTAGACTTCTATTCATAACATGAAACTTAAAACATGTAAAAATGGAAAATTTGTATAAGCATATATCGATTTTGCTATTAGGCTCCGCCCCATAATTACAAAATCCATCTTTCCTTGCAAATTTTAACCATGTTTTAAGTTTTTTTTTGTGAAAAGATGACAAGTATATTAAGAAAAAAGAGGCAAAACATAAAGCCCTCTCACCCACCCTATCTCAATTGTGATGATTTTTTTTATATTCGTCGTAAGCCGAGGGAAGGAGCTTAATTGTAAAATCGTTATTTTTCTACGAGAAATTACCACGTAAATTATGTTCTTAAGTACTTGTGTTATAAAAAGAAAACTAAAAGAGAAGCCCCGCCCATCCGTCTCAATCTCAATCGTGATGAATTTTTCATTCGTCGCCAGACCGAGGGGCGGAGCGTAATTGCAAATCGATGTTTCCCTTTATAAATGTACCATTTTAAACATGTTTTAAGTTTCTTGTGGATAAATAAAGATTTTGCACACATATTAAGAAAAAAGGGTAAAATGTAGCCCCACCCACCCGCCCTATCTCAATTGTGATGACTTTTTTTTATTCTTCGTGAGCTAAGGCGGCGGAGCTTTACTGTAAAATCTTTATTTCTCTACGAGAAATTAAAACATCAACGGATGATATAAACGACGCATGCCGCCGCTGCGTATTTATCTTACAACGGCAACGTCAACGGCAAGTGTACAAACCGGCCTTTACTTTTTTTCGACATTTTATGACCCTTAGAGTACGAAAAAATAGGTCTCCCGTTTCCGTTATGACTCCGTGTTGAGCTTTTATCCGAAAAGTCCAGATTTTTGGAAAAAAAATCGAATTTCTATGCATAAACAAAAATCAAAAAGTACGTCCTTATTTTGTCGTGGAGCTATGTTGACGAATCACGAGCCCACTCTATGACAAATTGAGCTAAGTGTCATGTACAGTTATAAAAAATTAACTGCAACTGTAACAAATTTGTTCCAGTACAAGTCGACACGCACAATTTAATGATTTCCCACCAAAATGTTATTATTGTTCGTAGACGACATTTATCGATATTGTTTGTTTAATAATGTCTTTGCATTCAATAATAAATACGTTATGAGAATTATAAGTTTTGGATAATTTACTTAGAAAATTACCTATTGTTCAATATAAATAAATTAAATAGCTCCAATACAGTCACACTGCATTACTAGCATCCTCATAATCACCGTATGGGAGTACAGATATTGACTTCTGTACGTACAGTTTAATAGCGGTGATAGTCTTTAATCATCCCGCGTAGGCAATTCTAAAAAAATAAAAAATAACGCTTCGTCCACTAATTTCGATGACGCCATCAACTTTCCGAAGGAGTCAACCAAATTCCAGTTAATATATTTCGCAACCTTTGATACCTACACAAATTCAACCACCTGCCCCTCAAAACGAAACAGTACGAAACCGCCGACTTACCCCCGCCCCCACTTGTCGCCTGGCAAAAATTTTAATAAACAAGCCATCCAAAAAATGCCGGCCGGCTCCCCCTTTCCCAAAACCGGCGCTCCGCCGAAGACCCTCCCTCCACCCCCGCAATCCGGCGGCGTCCGCCTCCTCCGGAGCGCCGCCGATGCCTTCCCGTGCCGCACGTCACCCACGCGCCAACACGTCCCATCATCAGCACCATCGGCGAACGCCCTCCGAAGACGTCTTTCGTGGCGGGGACGTCCCTATAAAACGGTGGACCAGGCGCGCACAGTCGCAATCCTACCACAGGGTGCTGCCGGTCGACACCCCGTGACGTCCCCGTGAGCGTGCTTCAGCCACTTCTCCAGCGGTCCTGCTTCGGACGGTGTGCGCGTCCAGGTGTTGCCGACTTCCTCAATTCTTCCTAGGTGAGTTGTAGGTGTCGAAATTTTGTGAGCCGATTTTTATTTTTTCAACCAACAATTGCAAAGTTTTTGAAAATGGGCACATTTTTGAGTTGACGAAAGTTGGTTATTGATTGAAACAAGGGGTGCATTTTTTTAATAACATTGATTGTGAGGTCTCAGTTTACAATTGATGCATTTTTTATTCATGTTCGATTGTGTTATTTACGGTTTAGTCGCGGACTGTTATTTGAAACGAAACATTTTTTGCCGACAAATGTGCTGGAAATATTTTGCATTTTCAAGGGAAATTCCTCTTTAGACAAATAATTTTTCAAACGACTGGTTAAATTAAAATACACTAAAAATTGAAACAAGGCTTGCGTCGAATCTAGTTCTAGCGTTAATAGAATTTGCAAAATACACCTGAACTGGAACATTTTTTGTTTATCCTGGATTTATTTCGAGGGGATTGGGCATGAATGCGTCTTTGCATATTTCAGCAGGAGCTTAATTTCGACATTTATACCTGCTGTTTTATTTTTCCCTGGGCTAATCTTCAAAACGCTGTACGCATAATTCACATTAATTGAAATTTTTTTAAAGCTGTTTTAATTAGTTACTCCCATTTTTTAAACTATCTGCCATAAAAGATTCGTTTAGGGGCAGCTCGTTCTCCAGAAGTGTCTCTTAACCCCCACGAATATTCAAAGATATTACAATTTTACAAGGAGTGCGCAATTAATTTTTATGCAATGATTTTTCACGATGTCAGAAAAATTTACAACATTGCACAATGAAACCATTGGCATTAAAACTTGTTAAAACAGTATGACTGCATTGATACAAAAATTATTTTTAACTTCCCGAGGGATACTTAAATAGGGGCGATTTATTCCGGCAAAAAATTGATGACGTCATCGTAAATTGGAAAAGATTATGTCTAAAAAAACATGCAACACTATTAATTCGATAAATATGTAATTAAGAATTCTGTTCAAAGTTATAAATTAGTGTTAGTTCATTATTCTCTTTTTATTTTTTTATTGTGATTTCGTCTTTTAAATCTTGTTTCTACAGTGAAAAACCTAAACTCTTTTAAAACATCGTAAATATTTTACTGCCAATTTTATTTTATTAATATGCTTGTTTGGCACTTTTTTATAGCTCGGAATTGTACACAAAATGTGTAAATACGTGTTTCGGCTTCATGAAAATAAAATCTAAAGTTGCGTGTTTTTATAAAATTTTCACTTTTATTATAACGTCCGTCCGTTTAGGGCCAGATTTGTTGCCAATTGTATCATTTAAGGACGCCCGAGAGAACTCCCTCTGGAAACAACTACTTCCTAAATTATAATTATTTATTAAACGTTAATTAATAATTAGTACAATTTAATTTACCCGTTCCAATAAAAAAAAATATTATCGATTTATTATAAGTATGTATTAAACTTAATTTTACTAACTGAAAACTGTTGAAGATAACGGACAGATAATTCTATAAACGCCATTGTTTTTAGCTTGAAGTCGGAAGCTTAATTTAGTACTGCCAATATTGATATGGAAATTTCATTATTACTGTTATTAAAATGGTTCCATTTTTTATGAATATTAGATCCTCGATGGCCAGCTCGCAACCCAGATTTAGGGTCTTTAGATTTATTGTTGTGACGACACATAAAGAATATGGCATATTTGAAAATGAAATAAACATACAAATGTACTAAAAGCGATGGCGTTTACAGAAAATCGATTAAGTATTCATAAATGGTGCTTTACAATTAACTGTGATTAATTTTTTAAGAAAATCAAAAGTATTCTGTAAAGTTCAAACTTCTGTGTGTTGACCAGGCATTCAGGCAAGAGCAAACATTTTTGTACAGACGTTATAAATTCAAAATTATCACGTTCTGCGATTTTTTTTCAAAAAATGTTTCAGGGTTCCTTCTAACTTAAAAAAAAATTACCGATTTGGTTCTGAATTATTTATAACATTGTTTTTGGACGATAAAAAGCTATCCGAACAATGTTTAACGCCCTAACTAACTTTTAACATGTGTCATTTCACATGAAAAGTTTACCAATTAAGACAATGTTGTTGGAATTTTTGACGAGGCGATTTGTCGACTTGTTTGCGCATTCTGTGTTGAGAATTGTTTGAAAATTAATAAGCAAATTATTGATTCGAAAAGTGGCTCTATTCTCTGAATGACATTGATTGGATATGCTGAGTTTATAATAGATAGACACATTTTTTATTCATGTCGTCGATTTCGTTATTTACGTCTCAGTCGTGGGAAGTTTATTTATCCGTAAACACTTTAATTCAAAATAAGATAATTTCTTTTGAAAGAACTTTGTCAAAGCGTTTTAAAACCCTTATCACATAAAGTTAAATCAGACCTGAAAAAATATTCACCTCAAGCTTATTTTCATGTCAACACAAATTATATAAATGCTATTAGATATAAAATCACTCAACAACTTTTTTATATTTATAACGTTCTGAAAATTTTTGTATGCCAAAATAAATACCAATAAAGTGGTTTGTATTTAAGTTGAATCTGTTTATTTAACCCAAAAAAACTAACCCCTCATTAAAATATTGTTAAACATAAAAAAATTGCTGTGTTTTTCTTCAATTTTGTGTCCATTTTCGACCGCCCCAGGTCCGACAATCGACTTAATTAAATTCAACATTTTTTCGCCTCTCCTATGCGTAATATTTCCGCACCACCTAAAATAAGGGCCGTTGGTTTTACTGATAAGCGATCCTCCCGAACGAGTCCATCTCCGGACCCCCGCAAAAAATAAAATAATCTACACACTTAGCTGTTTTAAATTAAATTTCGGGCCGAGTAATGAGCTTACAGTCCTTTGCACGTACGTGAAAACCCGCCCCCACGCGAAAAACGTATCATGTTTTTAGCGCTAATGACGTTATTTCATTACTGTAATAATTTTTGCATGAAAGTGGTTGCAACTTTATGAAATCGGCTTCCAAATGGCCGCTTTTTAAAATTTCGTGTGGGGAAAATTTACGAAATGTTAGATATTTTCGAACAAAATTCGTGCATTGCAGGCTTTATTGACAATAAAGTGTGTAGCAAATTAAAGCCTAGAGATGAAATCACAGCGAAATCGAATTAGTTGGCTTGACGCTGTAAAATAATCGTAACAAAAACTATGTAGTACAAAGAAGTCAACAAGGCATTTTTTGACGAGGCGTGCCCGAGTTAAAAAAGATCCGAGACGTCATTAAATTTTTGAAGGAAAGCCTTGTTAAAAAAGCAGCTTAGTGTATTAAATTCGCTCCGATAATCGGGTTATTATTCCAACCTGGAGGCGTGAATTCCTCCAAGAAATCGCTCATAAATCAGCGCCAATAATTATGCTGACAGGAATCCGAACGTAGGAAATTCTTGTTATGTGACGGCGCAATCTGTTGGATTGTTGCGGCAAGTTTGGCATACTCTCAAAGCGTTGTTTTAAGACCGGAGGGAACGTGCCCGTTTTTGCTATCCCCTTAAGCGCTTTTTAACCGGTCCGGACCTGTATTCCATTACATCCGTTATTTCGTTCGACGAAAATCGACATGTGGCGATTGAATCCACAAAGAGGGATTAACGGGCCATATATTCATTAAAATATAGTTAGATTGTGCAAATATTTTTATACGCGGCCACTTATATCGATAACGAGGGAATAATAATAATAATAAACCGATGTTTGCTCTCGAGATAATCACTGCGGAGTTAATAAAAGGGATATTTTGGGACAGGATGTGGCCATCGCCGAATTCCACACGATCCGGGGCGCCTCTTCAATTAACTACTAAAATACGCAATCTGACAAATTCCGACTCTGTCAACATTAAAAACAGTTTTTTATTTTAATAATAGTGGTGTAAGAATTTTTTGCAGCGTCAACTTTATTAAATTTAAAACGTTTCTTCGCGTGCCTTTAAAGCACCAAATTTATCATATTTAATCGAATCATTCGGGCCGTGTTTTTCTCTTTGATCGACCCTCGAATCAATTACTGATAACAATATATTAAGCAATCGAGAATTTTCAGCGAACCGCTTTGATAAAATTAAATAGGGGTTGATTTAATGGATGGGGCGTTTTTCAAACGAATCAAACTCCCGGGAAAAAACTTTTGCACTTTGGAATTAAACGAACACGAAGGTCTGAATTCCCTAAATCATAATTCGGTTTGTATTGAATTAGCAAGCAATTCTAGCGGAAAGTCACATCATTCAAAGAACCGTTTCAATTATCGCCCGAAATGTCATGCTTACAGTGTGTAGATAATTTAATTTCCTATTCAATTAAACGTACGTGCTCAATATTCAGTTAGTGGAGAAATATCAACTGGTAGTTTGATGGTCCGGACGCACGTAAATTTTTTTGGTGCGATTTTTGCGGTCTAGAGTATCGATTTACCATCACTTTGGGCTACAATGATTACACGGGCATTTTAGGGTCAGCGTGTTTCGATAAACAAGCATAATTGCAAGGCCTTGTTTGGCTTGTAAGCTGGCGAGTTGTGGATTAATTGATAATCGGGCGAAAAGTGCCCTATCATTAAGCACATAAATTACGGTGTGTAAAAAAGCGGATGTGGGAATTTATGATACGGGAATTTTTTGCGTGTGTAAAGACTTGTTGATGCGATCGCAGGGAGAATCTACTTAAAATTGTCGCAATAAATCAGAAAAGCCGCTTGATAAAAAACTTCCCATACTAATATTTCCGTGATCTTGAATAAATCTGCTATTTTTATCTCCTTTATGAGATTAACGTTGAGTGCCTCTTTACACAGTTCCGAGCCCGATTCCTCTTGTATCAATGCAAATTGATTTAATTTTTTAGACGTCTAACTGGTTTTCCAGACGGTGAAAATTAATTCCGCCGCTGCCGAAAGAATAATAATTATTTTAAGGAAAAAGTTTCCAATTTAAAAATTTATTCGTTCTTCGAGCCGCTCTTAACATTTTTAATTTAATTGTCACACCA